TACGCTGCTGGCTTTTGCTAGCAGAGAGTATGCAAATGAAATGCTGATTAGCATTTTGTTGTGCTTCTTTTGCATAATCTATTTGAGCTGTGTTTGCGCAAGGGGTTTTTGCACAAAAACAAGCAGTGTAGAAGTTTCCGTTTTACACAAAAACCCCTTGCACAAAAATGGCTCAAATAGATTATGCAAATGAAGTGTGACAAAATGCTAATCAGCACTTCATTTGCATAATCTCTGCCAGCAAAAGCTGGCAGTGTAGACAAAGCGTTGGTTATCTCAGATTCTTGAAGGGATAAATAACATTTCATTCATTTTCACCACGCCCATTGTCATAATTTTATAGCCCTTTGTCATATTCCAAGTTGAACAGTTCCAGTCTTTTTTAATCTTTCCTCCTATGGAAGCTGTTCCATACTCCAAATCTGTTTTGTTGACCTTATCTGTATTTTTTTTTTATAATTTTACTATAGCTCTTTTTCACACGAGGCAACCAGAACAACACACAGAATTAAAGGTGTGGGTGCATCATAGATTTCTATAATGGCATATTTTCTGATTTATTATCTATCCTTTTACTAATGGTTCCAAACATTGTTAGCTTTTGTTAATTGCTTCATATTAAGCAGATGTTGCATGAGACTTACCCACAGTTACTCCAAGATCTTTTTTAATGTAAACCCATCAATCTCAATATATAGTTGGGATTATTTTTCTAACGTGCATTACTTTATGCTTATCAACATGGTATTTCAACTGTCATTTTTTGCACAGTCACCAGTTTAGTGATATCAGTTTGTAACACATCCCAATCTGACATGGACTTAACTATCTGCACTAACATAGTAGCTTCTGCAAATTTTATCACCTCATTGTTCACCCCCTTTCCAGATCATTTATGAATATGTTGGACAGCTCAAATTCTAGTACAGGTACTTTGGAAAGCTATCTCTTTCTCTCCATTTCAACTCTTTGTTTCAGATATTTTAACTAGCTACTGGTCTGTGAAAGGATCTTCTTTTTTACCCCTTGATTGCTTCCTTTACTCAAGAGTCTTAAGTGAGGAATCTTGTCAAAGGCTTTCTGGGAATTCAAGTATATTATTTCCTAGATCACCCTGATTCACATCCAAAGAATTCTAATACATAGATGAGCATGACTTCCCATTACAAAATCTGTGGTGACGCTTCCTCTAGATGTGATGTTTATCTGTGTGTCTGGTAATTCTGTTCTATATTGTTTCAACCAGCATGTTTAGTACTGAAGCTATGTTTACTGTCCTGAAATTGCCAGAATTTGCCTCTGGGGCCATTTTTAAGAATCAGTGTTACATTAGTTACCCTTCAGTCATCTGGTGCCTTTTTAAAGAATCACTATTACATTAGCTACCCTTCAGTTATCTGGAACAGAGACTGATATAAATGATATATTATACACCACAGATAGTAGTTTTCCAATTTCATATTTGAATTCCTCTGAACTCCTGAGTGAATACCATTTGCTCCTGGTGACTTATTACTGTTTAATGTATCAATTTGTTTTAAAACCTTCTGAACTAACACTTCAGTCTGGGTGAGTTCCTCACGTTTGTTACATAAGAATAGCTCTGATGTGAGTATCTTCCCCACGTACTTTCCATTGAAAACTAAAAGAATTCACTTCATCAGTTTCTCTGCAATGGCCTTATCTTCTTTGGAGTGCTCCTGTAGCACATTAATCAGGCAGTGGTCCCATTGACTCTTTGGCAGACTTCCTGCTTCCTGATATGCTAAGGGTTTTTTGCTCTTAGATTTTGTGGTATTTTGCTATTTGATCGTCAAATTCTTTCTTGGTCTCCCTTCTTATATTTTTACTTCTCTTCCCAGAATGTATACTCTTTCTCTCTTACATGAACTTAATTCCTAATTATGTCTAATTTTTGGTATCCCATTTAGATTTTCTTAGTTCAAGCAATGCTGAAAGACTGATAATAGATAAGAATATTGATAGTTGTCTATAATTTGATTGTACATGATACTTATTCAGTAATTCCATAATCCTTGGGAGTGTAGAGTCCAACCAACCTTCACAAAGTTATTCTCCCTCCTGTCTATATGGGTACATCTACACTTGCTCCCTAGTTCGAACTAGGGATGCAAATGTAGGTGACCGAAATTGCTAATGAAGCGGGAATTTAAATATCCCATGCTTCATTAGCATGATCTCCCTGGCATGTTAGTCTGCTCAACAGCTGTTTCGATAGTGAAAGTGCGCGCCAGAACGCGCTAGAACGAACCAAGCCCCTTGGTTTGAACTAATGTTACTCCTCATTTTTAAGCAGAATAACATTTAGTACAGTGGAATCTTAGGCCCAAACTAAGTTAAGCAGAGTAAACAGATTTTTTTTGCTACCCAATAACCAGAGTGATGGAGAAATCTGTTGTCCACTTTCAAATTTTTAGATTATATGAGAAGGAGATGGCAGTGCCACCAGCTAATCTTAACAAAGAAATCCTGATGTACTGGTGGGTCAGTCATTTGTCCTATGAAGACTTCAGAAATAAGGGTAGTAGAGGACTATTTTACTTTTTTTTTTTTACCAGACACCCTGCCTTAAAAAAGCAAGTGGTAGTAGAGAAACCTCACACCAACTTGGATCAAGCCCTTAAATGGGATTTGAGGGACATGTGCACCACACAGTTCAGATACTGCATGAGAAGTATACACTTTTATATAAATACAAGGACTTCTCAATTCAGTAAAAAAAAGCCACGTTATAGAGCTGTATTTATCTTTTCATCCTAGTTTTATAGTGATTAGGGATTACAAACTAACCAATTCTTTAGGGGTTCATAGTTCCTGTGGTTAGCATTAGGGATGTCAATGGTTAACTTGTTAACCAGTAAGCATCACCCTTAATGGTGATGGTTACCAGTAAACCAGTGGGACAGCCAGGCTGGAGCAGCTCCCCACCCGCCTGCAATATGGTGTGGTGCAGTGAGCCTGGCCAGAGCTGCACCAACCTGCAGTGCAGTGCAATAGGCCTGGCCTGGTCTGAGCAGCCCCAACTGATGGTGGGCCCAGCCTGGCCCCATTTAAACCCTCTCCTTGTTTAAGCCCCCAGCCCTCCATTTACCCTGTTCACACCCATGTAAGCGGTTAACCAAGCAAACATGACATGTAACCAGTTATCTGATTAAACGGATATTATATCCCGAGTTACTGTGTGTTTGTCAAGACACTGGAAGGGAATGCCTCTCTGGAAGTACTCTGCCCTTTGCAGGAATGAGCCTCTGTCAATGAGATGTGGGGATTCTGAGAGAGACTCAGGGTTTGTTCATTATCATGTGATTATAAAGAACACTTCAGAAACTTGTTCACTTTTTTCACTAACCACAGTAAATGAAAATTGTAGCAAAACATGATGATCAGATTGAAGATGTTAAAAATAAAGTAAATGTCTGACACGGGGTTAGAATTTGATACATTCTACATAAGAGGCACTTTTACAACAGGACAAATATAGTGCTAATTTCAAAGAAAGGGAGCTGCACCTATATTACTATAAACTTTCTGCATTGATAGTCTAAATATAATTCTAGCTTCTATATAATGTAAGTATAATTTCACTCTACTGGGGTAATCATCATTCCAAAAGCTTAATCTATTTTATTTTAATTTGGCCTTAGTCCTAATTCAAAATTGGCTGTTAGGGCTTTTATATCTCTGATTGGATTCCGGTTTTTGATGATGGCCATTTTTGAATTCAACTGATGACTACAGCATTATGTAAGCAGTTGCATTCTTCACTGTAAAAGATCTGCTGATTTCAACGGAGCTGGAAGGCTAGTAAGTAAACTCAGATAACTATAAGGTGGTGTTTATAATACCATTCCCAAAATCTCTTGCATGTGTGTCTTGAGGCAATAATCTAGTCCTAAATAGGGAATCTGCACTCATAAATGGAACTAAATTAGTGGGGATGCATGAGAACCTAGGAGTGTCATAGAATAACATTGTACAAGGAGGCTAAGGATTTCTTACTGTTTGTCAGTGGAGCGCAGTTTGTCATTCATTCCCCTCAGTTGGAGAATTTTAACTCTGCTTCATTGATAGCGATGAGTGAAGTAAAAGAGGCTACATTTAAAAAAAAAAGGAAAATATTTATTGAAGTATGAGAAGAAAGAGAGATTTATTCTAAATATATTAGGTAGGGAATTGATAATTGCTATTTGTCTAAAACTTCAGGGGGTTACTCTGTACAGGATAAACACAAAAACAACAACAACAAAAGGTCTGGTAGCTCTTTATAGACAAAACAAAGCAAATAGATCAGACCATTTGTTGGTTTTTTGTATTTGTCTAAAACTTGTTCACCATACTCTGGCCAATACATTAGGACTTTGATGTATTATAGCTATAAGGCAATAGGTGCCTTAAGATATTTAGGAATTTTCTTCCATAGCATCAAATGTCAAACAGTAAATGCCACAAAAGAATGTGCATCTGTTTTCTTTTTTTACTATATCAAATAATGAAAGTATGTGACAGGACTAGAAAATTAACCTGGAAAAAATACCTTTTCCACAAAATGAATTTGTTGGTTTGTTTGTGATAGCAGAGTATGTCAGTGCCTACCTTTTGTTCCAACTGGCACAAAACAGGAAGTTATACAGAATAAAATCAAAGGAACCTTTCTGTATTGACATTTCAAGATCTCAGAATTTGAGTTAATTTCTTCATTCTGGACTCTCTTTCCGTTAAAGTCAATTAAATAAATTATACACATTATTTATTTTTATTATTTTAAATTCTATCCTAATGGATAATACTTGAATAATTATTATGAAACTCTTGAAAGATTTTATAATAGAAAATGTTCTACAACTGACAAAAATATTGAATCCAAAATATTTTTCAAAACTTGAGGTACTGGATATGCTTCTAGGATTCAAAGTAAAGTCTGGATAATTTATCTTTTCAATTAGTTTTCTTGGATTAAGTATCATATTTCTCAAATGCAGGAGCTGATGCTGTGGAGGCCCAGTGTAAGAGATTTGAAGTAAGAGCAAGTGAAAGTGAAAAGTTGTTGTTTTCAGCAGATGAAGATGAGATCATCATTGGAGCTGACAGACTCAAAGTAACAGGTAAACTAACACTCAGGTTTATAAACAATATTTAAGTTTTCATTTAAATAACCCTGGTGTTAATTTTCCTCAATGAGCTTGTACCTATCAGACTTTCATAAACTCTTTTCCAAAGGCAATGAATGACTAACATGGGACAGATTCTTAGCATTCGGGTCTTGAGCTTTTCAGAATACCTTTGGATGAGTAAACACAAACTGTATGTTTTATTTTTAATGGGGACTATTTTATGTCCTCATTAATAAAACATTGCTTTATGGTATATGTGCCATTTTGAAAGGTTTTGCTTATAAAATGTCCCCTCCTAATTCTGTAAGAGCTGTGATTATGTACTATGTATAAAACCAACTTTAACAGGAATAACAATTGAAGACAGTTGGCAGTTTTTAAAAAGGATATTATTAAGGGCACAAGAGCAAACTATTCTACTGCATAGGAATGATAGGAAATATGGCAAAAGACTACCCTGGCTTAATCATGAGATCAAGAATGATCTAAAAATCAAAAGAGTGTACTATAAAAAGTGGAAACTAGGTCAAATTACAAAGGATTAATATAAAAAAAACAAGAAACAAGAGCAGAATTAGAAAGACCAAGGCACAAAACAAAATCAAGCTAGCTAGAGACATAAAGAGTAACAAGAAAACATTCTATGGATACATTAGAAGCCAGAGGATGACCAATGACAGGGTAGGCCAGTTACTCAATGAAGAGCAGAAACATTTACAGGAACTGTTTAAATGGTGGATGAATCCAATGACTTCTTTGTTTAGGTTTTCACTCAGAAGTTTGGTGGTGATTAAACACCTAACATACTGATTTTTAGTGAAAATGGAGTAGGTTCAGAGTCTAAAATAGGGTAAAGAACTCAAATATGACATAGAATATTTGAAGAGTTGGCTGTAGAGCTATCATCTTTGAAAAGTCATGAAGAAATTCAGGAGACATTCCAGAAGACTGAAAAAGAGCAAATAAATTGCCCATCTATAATTATAACGACAACCCAGTGCATTACAGACCAGTCAGCCTACCTCTACTCTGGGAAGGTTTGGTGACAAAAGTGGTGTTGACATGCAAATGTTGCTAAAAGTGAAAACCAGTCAAACCAGTTTTTCTGCCTCCCACTATTGACATTTCATGACCAGATTGCTAGCACCCTGTTAACAAATAAGATCAAAGCAATATGGGTATGCATCCCACAGTTGGATGTAGTGGAAAGGCAGAGCTGGTCCCTGTGCTTCCCAGGATTCTCTTGTAGTTCTGTGATCTCTCAGTGCTGAGGAATGTCAAAGCAGCACAACAGTCTCTCCAGACCCTCTCTTGCAGCAGCATTCTTCTGCCACTGTGTTTCCAGTGCAGGGCAGCACAGAAGTATTCCAGTGATTTGTTGTTTATTCCCCAAACAGAGAAGATCACTCAGCTGTCAGATATTTTTATAGAACTTTGAAAAGGGAGGGTACATGCCCACAGGACAGGACAGATCACAAATCACTGAGCACAGACATCAGGGCAGGCACTGTGCGATATTGGTGGAAGGCAGTTCTCTCAATAGTACAAATAGCAGAGTCTACACTGGCTATTTGTCAACAATAAAGGGAAGGGTAAAGACAAAATCTCTCTCAGGGGCTGGGAGTTTTTTGTCCCCAACACCAGATGTTTTTCCCAACAAAAGTCAAGAATAAATCATGTCAGACTAATCTAGTAGCTTTCTTTGACAGGGTAATAAACCTTGGAGATAAGGGGAAACCAGTAGATGTAGTGTACCTAGAGTTTAGAAAGACTTTTGCTACAGTGTTGCATGACCCTCTCATTAACAAACTAGGGAAATAAAACCTAGATGGAGTGACTATAAGGTAGGTGCATAGTTGGGTGGATAATTTCCCAGAAAGTAGTTTATCAAGGGTTCACAGTCATATGGGAAGGGCACAACAACTGGGCTTTCCCAGGGATCAGTTCTGCATCTATTCAATATCTTTGTCAATTATTTAGTTAATGGTGTAGAGGGTACACTTACAAAGTTTGCAGATGACACTAAGATGGGATAGGTTTCATATGTTTGAAGGGTAGGATTATAATTAAAAATGATTTGAAGAAACTGGAGAAATGGTCTGATGTAAATAGGATGAAATTAAATAAGGACAAATGCAAAGTACTCCACTTAGGAAGAAACAATCAGTTGCATACATACAAAAGAGCAAATGGCTGCCTAGGAAGGAGTACTGTGGAAAGATATCTGGGGTCATAGTGGACCACAAGCTAAATATGAGTTAATAGTGGGACACTGCAAAAAAAAAATCATACACCCAAAGATCATTCAAGGATGTATCAGCAGAAGTATTCTAAGACAGAAAAGTAATTGTGCTCTACTCTGTACCGATTAGGCATCAACTAGAGGACTATGTCCAGTTTCAGGAAATATGTGGACAAATTGGAAAAAAGTCCAGAGATGAGCAAAATAATGATAAAAGCTCCAGAAAACATGATATGTGAGGGAAGATTAAGAGGCATGGTTTTGTTTAGTCTGCAAAAAAGAAGGGACATGACATAGCTTTCAAGTCCATAAAAGGTTGTTATGCGGCACAAGCGATCAGTCGGCAAAGGCTTCCCCAGCCGACAGATCCGTGTCTAGACTGCTACACTGTGCCGGGTCAGCTGTTTATTTTAATGAAGCAGGGACTATTTAAATTCCCACCTTTTTGCCTATGCCAGGTAAACTAGTTTACATGGCTCCGTCGACGGAGCCATGTAGTCTAGACATACCCAATATGTCAAGTCTAATTTTTGTATGGCCAAGTTGTGCTCTCCTAAAACAAGCCCACCTTGAATTTGAGAAGGGGAAGTCTATTTCTGAGCTGCAATTTAATCTGAAGAATTAGAGTGAATTTCTCACATGGGAGGCAATTTATCCAGTTTTGTGAAAGTCTATAATATTTATATACTATCAGTGAAAAACAGATTGCCACTAAATCTTCTTCATGAATTTCCTAAACATGAATACCTAGAAGGTGCATCTATACATTATGCTATACTTCGTTGTAGTGTTGGGTGAGCCTTAAAGGCTCAGATAAGGTATGTACAGTAGTTTTAAATAAGTATCTAAGCCTTTTATACTTTAAAAAAAAGGCCTCATAGGTCTGAGTCATTAAATTCTAATCCAGTATTAGATATAAATCTGAATTTATCCACAATTCAAGTACGTATGGACTCAAGACTACCATGTCAGTTCACTTTTAAGAAAAGCTTGAATTATGAAGTTCAGATTCTGATCCCACTTTTCTAAAGTTCAAGTGTGATGGTTCTGTTTTGAACCCATATTTAAGTGGAGCAATCTGAACCTATTTTATCTGTAATGTTAAGCTGTAATTTCCTCTTAAACATAAGCTTTTTGTAAGATTTTAGAGATTTTTTCTTTACAGACAGGCCAGATAGATCAAAATGGTTTTCTCATTCTGTTCTGCTACATCCAATTCTTGTCTAGACTCAATCCAGGAAATCCAGAAGCACAGCCAGTGGAGGGGAAAAAAAGCTAATCAAACTTATTTAAAGCATCATAAAAGGTGTCTGTATACAAGATTATTGATGAATAGATAAAGAATATTTTTTATTCACTTCTGTTCTTCCATTCCTACCTGCTCTCTCCTTATTTTCCACAGCCTACATTTCTCTTCTCATGCTGGTACTTCATAATCAAAGTCTTTTCCTGTCAGGCAGTTTAGAAATACTGCAGTGTCCATTGGAATAGCATTAATTCTGTTTGTTTACAAAAACAGAGGAGGGGTTATCCATTGCTTCAGAGGAGCGCTTCACAGAGAGAAGGTCTAAGAGACTTTTATCACAATAGATGGGACATTGAAAGAGGTTAATCAGAAAAGCATTAGAAGAAAAAAGCAGCAGCATCCTACAGCTCCACTGGGATCCAAACTCCCAGTCACATTGTTAAATAGGCAGACAGTCATTCTTAAACAATTGACATAAGCTTTCAAAGTAGCTATTAAAAGTGTACGAAAGAAAATGTATCCAACAAAGGACATAAAAGTGATAAGGTTTTCACCATTAGGGAAACTAATGTATGTGCTGTAGATGTGGTATATCTTTTTAAGGACTTTGAAAAGCAATGTATTATATAACTATATTTTGTGGCTGCATTGACTTCAATAGGACTATTAGGGAAAATTGGGCCAATAAATATGTGAATTAAAACAGTTCCTTGTAACAAAAGTATACGTTTAAAAAAAAAGTGCTGAAAAATTTTCCTTACCCATAAAGACCAGAAAATTTGAGTTACTGATGCTTTGACACCTTTAGCTGAGTTTCAGGGATAATGGGATATATCCAGTCCTCTACATCAGGATTTCATTATATTAGAGTGAATTGAAATAGCTATGGCCTAACATTTATTTGTATATACAGTGGCTGCTGAGTTTAAGCTAAACCCCTATCCTACAGTTACTTACGCACATGTTTAGTTTTACTCATGTGAATAGTCCCACTGAATTTAATGGGAACTATTCACTTAGGTAAAGGTGAGCATGCATGTAAGTGTCTGCAGGTGAAAGGCCAAAAAGAACACTTAATATATTTTGGTAATGCTATTTACTGTTACTTATGCAATAAAAAAGTTCTCAAGTTTCAAAGCTTTATGTAGTAAGGATTAGAGTGTTAAACATACTTGTCAGCTCTGATTGTTTTCAGTAGGAGCTGTTGTGTGCTAAGTACATTTGAAAAGCTGACTTAAGGTATGGAGATGGATCTTCTTGGGAATACAGGTGTGGATTTATTTAAATGATCAAACTGATGTATTTTTACTTATATATTGCTTTAATATGTTCTTTCTATGTGTGCGAATGCTGAGGAAAATCTGAATAAATCTGGCCTGTTTGTTTTTATTTTGGAGGTAATCTTTTTGATTTGTGGGAGGTTGGCTATATTTGGGATTGCTAAAGCTGGCTAATTTTTTTTTTCAGAAGCATAGTTTATTTGCTGAAAAATGCAGTTTAGTT